TGCCATCCTGAGACCACAAACGGGTGCGCCGCGCGCGAAGCGGGCGGGGTGACCTACTTTTGACGAACGCGCGCAACGGACGTTCTCTGTGATGACCCCATGTGGTTCAGGGGCGAGTTCTGTTCGAAGGCGAAAATTTTGCTATGAGACAGCGACTCTGTGGTATACAAATGCATTTAATATAATGTAATAAATAATTTAATAACCTATACATGTAAAAATAATGGGTGGTACTCAAGCAATCTGCACAATGTGATCGCTGATCTTCGAGCCAATCTTGCCACTGCAAAGAAAGAGAAGGAGGAAAGTGAATGGCATCTTGGAGAGCATAAAGAATGGCTGAGTAACTCTAAAGAGAAGTAAGTTTTTCTTGGCAGTAGAGTAAACAGGTAAAAACGTTCCGGCTATAATATTTGTAGGGTCGCGTACTTGGAGAATCAACTGAGTCTCTTGACAAGCGATCCTGATCGTCTTACAATACCACCTCCGAGTGAGTTTGACCATCATGAAACGGTTACAATCACAAATTCTGAGGGAATCAATGTTAAGCAGGTTCAGGTTCACCTAAGCCACGAGCAGGGCTCGAAAATGCTGATGAGTCAGCTAAAGCACAGGTATTTACAATAACATTTACTAGAATTAGAGCCCAGGAGGCCTCGATCTTACTCTTTGGAATATTCGACTAATTCACATTCTGAATATCCCTCCTAAGGTTTCCAGTCTTCATTTTATAGAAAATACTTTTATTGATTTGAGATTTTCGTTTGTTACTGGGTATTTTGCAGATACGAGCATTGGAAACCAAGCTACAACTTGCTAACCAATCATTCAGGAATAGCGAAGCTGAACGACAGAAATGTGAACAAATCAACAGGTGCGTCTGCAGAACAATTATACTTACTCGGTTCCTACCGACTGTCGCATACCCTTGCAAAAGTGCGCGCAGTCGCAGAGCTTATCGATTGGTGGTGAGCGCAGGCTCGTTTCAGCCAGAGGCGCCGCCCATCACGTGTTAGGTCTATGGAATCGATTTTCCTGGAAGAAGGTGCAAAAAACTTAATCAGGTTGTATAGGAAGCCTGAACGTGATTCATTATAAGCTGCAACTCAACATAAACGACAAAAAATGGTGTGCTAAAAACCATACATTGACATATTGGAGCGAAACGTGACGCAACCGCACGCATTTAACAAGCCTTTTTTCAAACGAGCATGATCATTTGTGGGTTTAGAGATACCATGAAGCGTGTCATGCAGCTTGAAGGCGAAAACGGTCGTCTGAGAGGAATCACTGAAGAATTATCGTGAGTGTTTGTTAATTTTCGCGATATTCCAATGGTAGTTGTGCTTTTTATGTTCCAAATTCGAATCTTTTCTTCAGAGCAAAGCTTCGGGATTCAGCGAGTGCCCAAGTACTTGAGGAAAAAGACGCTCGTCTTCGTGATCTTGCTGAGGAACGTAGCCGACTTCAATGGAGAATCGGTGAACTCAGTCAATGGTGGAGTGACGCGAAGTGGAAGTAGGAGCTCTCGTTGTCACACATCTTTCGTTCTACCTTGGTTCAATTTCCGTATCCCGCACAGCTTTTATGAACTGTTTGCTTGGCTCAATGATAGGCGGGGATATCGATTGATGACTCTGACGCGGCGCTGCACAGCTCACCGCGCAAGATGCTTCAATCGATACATCGTACTGCTTTGTTTCCTGCTCTATCCTGTCCTTTGGGTGGAGTTCTGGATTTATCGCACATTTCTCCTATTCCGGCTATTTTGTGGGTTTGTGGTGCTCAGTTTTCACGTCTTTACAACTCAACTTGTACTGTCGCTTAATGCGGTGCTAAGCAGAACTGGGGCTGAATAAGGTGAGACTGAAGGGATGAATAGGATTCATTTCTTTCAATTGGCAAAAATTCTCGGCTTGCCCGGAGGCCTACCCAAACGTAGTCGGACGGTTCACTTCAACTCGAGTCTACTTCTGACTCCTTTACTTATATTTTTCGTTCTCAGTAGGTAGGGCGTCAGAGCGTCATCTCACAATCAGAGGAACCAATTGACCCTTTCGATTTGAATCGTAAATACTTTTTCCTTCTTTCTCAAGCCATACTCTCAGGATCGGCGAACTAGAAGCTGGCGTGGCTCACCAGCGACAAATGATTGATACGGCAAATGGGAAAATTCAGAGTTTGAACGATCAGTAAGTCATTTCAGCTAACAACTTCATTCTCGACCTGGAATAGGGTAGATCAAAGAGTGTAACTTTTTGAACAAATACTAGTATTCTACTTTTTAGACTCGCCACAGCATTGAGGTAAGAGTTGCGATGTGTTTGAAGTGAAATAACGAAATTGCGCGAGTGTGTAAAACGTGATACTGTGTTTTGAACTTCTTAATACTTTTGTTTTACTGTTTAACGAACACAATATTTACCGAATAGAGTTGCGGTGCAGGTGTGCGTGATAATTTGGAGCTGATTTACTACTCATACTACAAAACTACAACTTAGATATCTCTTGAACATTGCCCCGTGACTATCGAAAAGTATAGTCTGAGTAAAGTTTTGAAGATTTAGCTTCGTCTGCAACTTCTCCCGCTACTCGTATTTGCTGCATTCCCATGGGGGAGGTTTAAGAACGTCAGGAACCATGAGTTCACAGGGAAACTTCATTTTTTTATGGTCAAAATGTTGTAGCATCTGCGGGAACTGCTAGCTGGCTAGAGGCTGGGCCACTCCGCGAGGGAAAATCTATCGTGATTGGTTGATTGCCTAGGTGCACCAATAGGAAGTGTCCTTGGTACGTTCCCAAAGAGCCGAGCTTGCAATCAACTTTTGTTGTCAAGTAGTTTGTACTGCAACGTATTTGATGAAGGGTTCTCACAAGCATTAAAAAATTATTTTATACCTATCGGTGGGGTTACTTGCAATTTCTTCTGACAGTACGATTTCCTTTTTCTGCGAAGGCTTCAAAATAGCGTATGTAAAATCCTAAGCTTCTTCGCTTATAATTCTTCGGGCCTTTCTATTTCCTCTGGAATAGTTACCTCTTAATGAGTGGTTATGTTCTGCCTTGATTCGAACTTGATCCACTTCAAATATAGTGATTTTCTCTGATTTCAGAGCACCGCAAACTTCCACTACTACCACATACGTCGTTCCACCATCGTTCAGTGTCAGTCAAGCAGTTCCTGGACAATGGCATTTAGCCAATACATGGTAATTTCACTTTTTTTCATATTCCCGTTTTCATCTGTGATCTACATCTTTTCCTTGTCATAACTATGATATGTACCTACTAACTTATGCTCAGAGTTGAATGTGTTAGGATAGCAATACTGGGAATATGGCAAAGGAGTTGCTTTCTGCGTGGGCGTGCCTACCTGCAGGAATCCTTTTCCCTCATTGGCTCGCGCGGGTAACGGCTCAATTGTGTAATTTGTGGCTAATACTGGCTTTTTTGGACACGCATCGACAGAAAGTCCCGCATAAACATGCTATGGCACTCAATGTGACCTCTGCTGCATTTCTAAAGCTTATTCCAGAACTATTTATTTGCAATGATGAAAACAGGAATGAAAACCGATGGCGATGCCAATCAATATTCGTTTCAGCTTCGCATCACCACCAGTTCCTGCACCAACGCCCCTCTACAGTGCGCCGCTCTATGGTGCACCATTCTACAGCGCCCCAGTTTCCTATGAGACCAAGAGAGTGAAGCTTGAAATCGATATCGACACCCAGCAAGACGTATTTGTCATGGTAATACATCTTTGCTATCTTTTCCGGTTTTTAAATTAGACAAATTCCCCTAAACGGCGCTAGTTCGAATGGAAATCGAAGTTGTCCTAGCGATACGAGGTACTGTAATAGTTGAATCCGATTTTTTTAAGCCTAGTTTTTTATTTATTTATTTTTTTTTTGCGGATCTGGGTTTCCTAGGTTTCTAGTTTTCGTGAAGTTGATAGAGTTGACCAGACCCTAAAATAATTTCCGTTTACCTTTTCTGAAAATGGTATCCAACGAAGGAGCGATTCAACGGGACAGAACTTTAGTGGAAAACGACTAGAAGTTAGAAGCTGAGGGAAAATTTCAAAATTCAATAATCGAGAGAAACGAGTTTCGAATCACTTCACCCATTAGATGCTGTACAGGAATGAACTGAACCTAGTCAGTCATTTCCGATTCCCGAGAAAACGCTTCGAAATTACGCGTTTTCATCTACATTCATCTACATTTTGGTTACTAGTTAATATTTCCTAGATAAACCAGTTTCTCCTACACTTGCTAAACGTACTATTCCTTTCTTTCAGGGCTCGTTCCTTAATTGGCAATGTGCATTAAAATGTGACCCGATAGGTGTGGGAAGACGAGGTCTAACACTCGATTTACCACGAGGAAGGTGAGTGATAGAATACTTTCGGTTTTCAAGGTGTGGGCGGTTATTACTGAGTCTCAGATATTCGTAGACAGGCAACAAAAGCTCTAAAGTAGTTTTTGAGAAGCTATGGGAATGTGGCGAGCAGTGGCTATAGTCTGCAGTTGGACCAATTCAAAAAGCTGGACTGGTAACTAGTAAAAAACGCCCGTGCACTTACCGTTCTGGTAGGCTAGGTCAATGTCCGCTACTCCCGGCCGCTTCTGTAGGAGCTCCTTTTGTTTACTGATCGCATTACTTGAAAAGAAAACCACGTGATGGGAGCTCTTGGAGGCACATCGTTCAGTTGGAAGCGCTGTGCCTCTCTCATCCTCCGTTTCTCCCAATCCTACACTATTTCTCCGTTCCGCTGATTATGCCAAGTGTTTTTATGAGCAATAGCACCACTTCACCGGACAGTCAAGAATACGGTGATAGTGTTTAGACTCTTTGGGATTAGAGCAAGGGTAATACATCAGCCCTCCAGTTTTTCATGGGTTCATAAGTTCGTTTTTCATCGGTGTAAAGTTGTAAAAAATTGCTCTGACAGGTGACTTCTTGTCCCTCCCGTTTCCCTACTTGCTTTGCCCAGGTGAGCTCTCACAATCAGAGGGGCTGGTTAAGTTGCATGGAGTAAAACGAAATCCCTTGACATAACCCCAGCCTAATGGTACATAGCGATCAATTGAAGCTGGTGGTTCAATGCTAGAATGAATTACTGATTTTAAATAAGTTTTTAACTTGTTTCAGGCACGAGTTCCGATTTTTGGCAGATGGTAATTGGATGACGTCATCATTGTACACGAAAGTTCCCAACGGATTTGGTGGCGACAATAATCTGCTCTGGGTAGAATAACAGCACGACAGCCACGCCCATGCATTGCCGTCTGACTTTATACGTCCTCTCCGATCGCTCTTCTCTCTCCGTCTCTTTCTTTCTCTTTCTCTCACATTCGCTATCCTCTCCTACTCTGTCACCATTTGCATCAATGATGATAGTGATGAAAATGATGCTACGCGATGATGTCTATGCCACTTCTTATGTTACCAAGACCAACACATAAGTATCAATTTTTACGCCGCCATGTTTATGCGTTTCCTCAAAACCAAGAAGAAGCCAATCATCCCACTTTACTGTTTCCGTTATCATCTTTCCTATTACTCGCTGTTTCTAATCTTTTATTTGGGTTATAAACACTGGTTCCCGTTGAGATTTTACTAGAGCGTTGTGTGTAGGATATGTGTAGGTCAATAAAAATATAAATGTGAAAGTTGTTCAAAAGTTAAAAGTGCATACGATCGATATGATTCGTAACAATCATAACTGTTACTAAACGGAATTATGCTAATCGTATGTCACCGATAATAGCTATAGTATGTTTTTTTATCACGATCAAAGCCACACCACGAGTCAAAAATGGAGTCTTCCCGGATTGCATGGCTCTGACGCGAGCGGTTGCGAAGCGGCTGTTTCCCTTCGGTGTATTAATCAAGCCTTTATAGAATACATTTGAGAGAAGCAGAGTCACAATGTTCGCTGGGGAAGTTCAA